AAAAAAAAAAAAAAAAAAAAGAAAGAGACATAACAAATTTACTTGAACGTGTCGTTCTATTCTGTTTAAAGAACAATGGAAAAGTTTCATGTGGATAATATAGCTCAGACGTGAATATAATGGGAGATGCTCTTCATCTTGTTCAGATGTTCCTCCGGAGTTTGCACAAACTGGACCAGTTCGGCTCTGAATTAACTGGCTCTAGCCAGAATCAACCAGATTTCTTAATGATGATCGAATGTCGGTGTTAATAGCCGCAACTACGGTGCAAATCCTTCTAAACAATTACACCGAATGGTGGGGCACAATATATGTTCAATAATCGCATCATTCCAACCAAAGAGCACAGTGCGTTACACTTTTGATTATGTAAGAAAGAATCAGTTGACTAAACGACCACACAGCTCATTCTATGCCTGTGTATCTGCTCATATTGGATCGATTGCAATTATCACGGTGTTTAGGCTAGATCTCGGTGGTGTGGTCTCTGCGAAAAAATGAAACAGAAAAATGTAACTCGCTTTGAGATACTTTTGAACATCTTGAGGGAGAGACGGATACTTCGGAGAAAATTCTTTTTCTCTATTGAAAGTTTAAATTGCAAAATTTTTGCAGTTTTCTTCTGAAGATTATTATACTTTACCGGTTGTCGGTATTTTTCCCGCAACATCCTTCGGAATCTTCAGAGGCGACAAAGATTCGAGTAGAAGAAAATTTTGGTAATTTCTCTCAATCAATTGGGATTCTTTTCCAAAAAAGGAAATGAATTGATCGATTGTTGTTCATGGTCGTAATAATTTGTCGAAGATCTGTAAAACGATACGAATCTGTAATTCGAATCATATAACGTGGGGATCGTGTGTCTTTCACGTGATTCTAGATCCATAGAAGATATCGATAAATGTCTTCAAGGACGACGAATGTCAAGTTCAACTGGCATATTCCTCGATTATTTTTGCTCACAACATTCCCTGTATTCTCACAATTGCATTTTCAATGAAATTCGATTTTTCGTAGTTACTTTTGTACAATAGTTATTTTTCTTCCTATCATTAGAAATTAGAGAGACTGTAGGAATTTAGAAAAATTATAAAATTCACAGAACTTGTAAAGATCTAGAGATAAATTAAAAAAGATCTATAAAAGAGAAAGAAATTTCTATAAATCCAGAAATCCATAGACACGTTTCTTCACCTGACAAATGAAGATATTTACCACGTAAGATACTGACAATGACTAAACTTAATATTCCAAACATTCGGATATCCAAAATATCCAAAAATTAAGAGGAGAGATTATACAAAAATATCCTGACCTCCTGACCAGACTGACTCATTTAAAAAATTAAATGCAAAAAATAATTAATTTAATTTTTCATAATTCATATCCACAGGGGAATTCTCTGTTTCTGTTCAAGCTCGTGAAACATGAAGTCACGTGTTTTGATATTATTCTTCCTCCTGGCGATTTCCTCAGCGGAACAACGACCATCCGAGGATGTAAAAGAAAAATGCCTGAAGAATCATCCTGTCCTCCTCCATTACTTCTCATGGGTTGACTATATGGTGTTGGCTGCTATGTTAATAATTTCGTGCCTGATTGGTACTTTCTATGGTTTCTTCTCAAAGAAGCAGGAAACCAGCCAAGACTTCCTGCTCGGTGGCTCGAGTATGGGAACATTCCCTATGGCAATGTCACTGGCTGCCAGCTTTATCACAGCTATTGAGCTTCTGGGGAATCCTACGGAAATGTACGGACAGGTATGATCTTATTTCAAACGATGCGCTTCTGGTAGATGGACTCATACATTCGCAGAATGAATCTTTCAACGAAAAGTTGATATTTTAAATTTCATCTAGAGCTGGTGCAGGATTCAGAATAGTTTAGAATTTGATAGGACAAGCGTGTGTTAAATGAACGATTTGCAAGTGACAATATCACACAAATTAATTCATTAATTAATTACTCGTCATTTAATTTATTTATATTTCAATCGAGGATTATGAAAATTCGACGTAACGTTATTATCTTTCTTGTGTGTTGCTTTTCATGA